CGGACCCTTAACTGACTGAGCCACCCAGGCGCCCCTCCCTCACGTTTATTAGCTGTATGGCTTTGGTAGATATGATTGCTACTCCAAACTTCCAGTTTCCCTTTATCTAAACTGAGAATCATTATACTAGCCTACTGTTATATAAATAAAAATAATTAAAAAGTGAAAACTGTTGAAATATAAGGCCATCTGATTTTTTCTAAAAATGATTTAGTTTTTTTTTTTCATATTTCTGTATTTGTGCAGGAGCTGTGAAATTGATTTATTTATCTTATCATGTAAAACTGTATTGTATATAGTCTTTCCCTGCTCAATAAGCTATTTCCGTAAGCTTATTTCCAACTTTCATGAACATTTCAGTATTAATCTGGAGAGAGTGATTTCTTTAAAAAAGATCATTCAAGTCTTGGCATAGGAAAGACCATGTCATCTGGTTGATGCGCATGTAAGTTAATACTGGAAACACTGTGACATTTCTCCATGAAAAATACTTGAAAATGGGGGTACCTGGGTGGCTCAGTCGGTTAAGTGGCTGACTCAGGTCGTGATCTCAGTTTGTGAGTTCGAGCCCCGCGTCGGGCTCTGTGCTGACAGCTCAGAGCCTGGAACCTGCTTCAGATTCTGTGTCTCCCTCTCTCTCTGCGCCTCCCCTGCTCACGCTCTGTTTCTCTCTGTCTCCCAATAATAGATAAACATTAAAAAAAAAGAAAAATACTTGAAAATGGTTTACTGGTTTATTGGGCTGCCACATTTGTTGTGGAGTTTGAGTACTCTTTGTTATTCTTCATTCTTAGGATGATTTGTGTAATGTTTTGGTTTTTAGAACTGTACCAAAGACCAATAAGTACATAGCTTAAGCTTCAAAATGCTCTGTGTAAGAATAGAAATAAGAAGCATGTGTCTAAGTGATTGGGTGTTATTATTTGAGGCCTGAGTGGTCAGGATTGAAACTGATCAGTCTGTGATTCTTTTCTTTCAGTCCACTAATTAATTCATCACCGATTGAGCCCAGCCCCTCCCAGGTTTTGCAACACAGATCAGTAGTCCAAGGTTAGAAGTTCTCACAGGGACTGAGGCAGGCAGATGGTAATTTAAAAAATGGGGGTGGTGGAAGTCCTAGAAATGGCTTTGATTTTATTCAGCAAAAAAGATCATGACTTTGAAAAGCACTATTGACTTCTCAAGTATTTCTGCCCCAATATTTTACTCATCCTGTGAGATTGCTGTTTGCTTCTTCAGAGAGAGAGAGAGGTGGCAATAAGCTCTCCTTCCTAATGCTTTCTAAGCCACAAGACTTGCTTATCTTTACATCTCTGCACTTGTCACCTATTTTTTTATTTATACACTTTTAACAAACTGAACTGATCATTTCTTACTGTTGATTGTGTTACCATATTATTGCTGCCTGACAAATTACCCCCCTGGACTACAGTCATCTAAAGGCTAGCCTGGGGCTGGAGGGTGCACTGCTAACGGGTTCTCTTCACACTCCTGCCAATTAGCGCTGGTTATTGGCACATGGCCTTAGTTCCTTGCCACACAGCTGCCCAAGTACCGTCACTGAATGACACCTTGAGGTACCTGGAGTGGGGAATCCAATGCTGGAGCCACAGCATCATTTATGCCTCAGAAGTCACACTCTGCCTTTTATGCATTGTTTATACATAGGTGCCCAATCAATGTGGGAGGGGGCCATGCAAGGGTAGAAGTACCAGGAGGTGAGCATCACTGGGACTGTTTTGGAAGCTGGCTACCACAGCTGTTTAATATCTCTCTTGTTCCTCATTTGTTGCTTCCTATTTTTGGATGGCAGTGTGGATTTAGAGTGAGCATTCTATATTTGTACAAAGCTTCTCATCAAAATATACCAAAGGAATTTGCGAAGGACCTACCTTCCAAATTGCCAGGAACACAGTGATAGATCATAAAATTGCATTGAGTTAGAGTTTACTAATTTGAGGATCTGTGTTAATAGAGGAGCCATTTATAGGGTTTTTCTTAAAAAACAAATTTAGAATAATTTCATTTGGCAAGGCCTTTTGATGCGGGAAGATACGTGAGTGTACAGTTAAAAATGATAGATTGCTAGCAGATATTTCCTTAATAGTTCTGTGTCTTAGTCCTTCTGAGTAGCCATAACAAAGTACCAGAGACTGGGAGGCTTATAAACAGAAATGTATTTCTCACAGTTCTGGAGGCTGGAACTTCCGGGATCAGAATGTCAGCATGGACTGGTGAGGCCTCTCACGTGGTGGAAGGGGCTGAGGATCTCTCTGGAGCTTCTTTTAGAAGGCACTAAGCCCATTCATGATGGCTACACCTTTATGGCTAACCATCTCCCAAAGGCCCCATCTACTAATACCATCACATCACCTTTTGGGGGTTAGGATTTCAACATAAGAATTTGCAAGGTGGGGCACACAAACATTCAGACTATAGCATTATATAAATAGACTTATTCTGAGTCTGTAAATTTCTTTCAGCTTATCTCATTATACCCAGTATTACCTATTTAAGTACATTATGTACAAGCATCCCCCAACTAGATTTCAAAAATAACATTTTTTTTTTAAAGTTCATGGCTAGGGATTTAGGTTTTATTCCCCCATAGGAGGAAATGTTATATTGCTCTTGTGTTCTTTGAATTGAACTTATGTTCCAAGGCTAACCCAGAATTATTTAATGTATTAGCGACTGTGTTTTGAAAGTAAGGAAATAATACTATTGCAATTTTAGTAATTAAAGAAACCAAAGAACTGCAATCTTTAGTAAGAGAATTTTCTTTAATGTGGTGCTTAAGGAAAAATTACTATAATTTGAGAGAAGGTTTTATTAGAAATTTATGGAAAATCTGAAAGAGGTCTCTGGATTTCATTTACTTAAATTATGTATATATACACCTATATACTCAAACACAATTGAATCAAACCTGTTTTCACTCTCATTTGCCTCAAAGTGGTTTTTATTTGGTTTTGTTCTTTTGGTTTCAGGGGTGGTGTTTGGAGGGGACTTGTCTGCTAGTAAGTCCTAAAATAGAATGGAGAAAAGAAAATACTGATGTTATGTAGTAAGCCTTAGATAAAAAAGGAAGCATGTTGGAGACTAGAAGAGAATGAGGAGATTTGGAAAGAGGGATTTGTTTTTTAAAAAGTTTTAAATTTTTCCTGAAAGAATTGTTATGCTGTCTTTACAAATGAATAGTAATAAAAAGTCAGTTGATAGGTTGATGCTTAAAAGATAATGTATAGACAAGTATGATGAGTGAGATTAAAAATGATTATCTTGTGGCTAATTCATGATAAACTGCAATTGTATATGAGTCAGAAATACTTGTACTTGAAAATTTGTTTGATACTGGGTAACAAGATATTTCCTTATTCTTGGAATTGATTGTTCTTTGTGGTACTTTTTTTGTGGATTTGTATCCTCCTATAGATAAAGAAATGTTAAGAGATAAATATTGGAGGATTCTGTATAGTTAATTAAAGTTGAGCATTTTTTTTAGAGTAAATGGGATGAAACCATATTGAGAAACAGCCTAGACATTGGGAAAATTTTCCATTTGTGATTCTTAAAACAGAATATTGGTAAAATGCCCTCTGGAAGCTGAGTTAACTGTTATGACTAGTTTTGGAATATACCCTTCTCTAAGTTTCAAAGATCCTTGCTGGATCTGTGATTTTGTAATTTGTTTTAATCCAATGATTTTTTTAATTTAAGATTTAAACATTTTCTAACCATTAACAAGTAGATTTAGGTTCAGTGAAGTAAACATTGAACCACAGTATATATATAATATATAATCTATGAACCAGGAGTCAAATGAAACCCACGATGTGGGTCCTCACTTGAGACAGCTCACATTACATTGAAGAAACAGCTCATATGTGTATGTAGTAGAGATTAAAAGTTTATAATTAACTTTTTTAATGATTTATTTTTACCAGTCAACATTTAAAGTATGTTATCCCAAAGTAAGCTTTAGCACTGACTCTAATTTGTATCATAATATATGTGCCAAATCTAATGCTTGTGGCCACCTCCCCTCCCCTATATATGAGCTGAAAATGCCCTGCCCTGCAGGAAGATTCTGAGTTGGAAAAAGACTTGTGCCTTCAGATAGCATGTGGGTCAGATAATCCCAGGCAAACTTAATTGGAGATTGAAGATGACTTATTTGAGGGAGGCCAGTAGTTTTTTTAGAACCAGTGGCTTGTAAGGAACAGAAGGAGAGTATGAGGCTAGTAAAATACTTCTGCAACACTACAACTGAGAAGACAGTGGAACAACATGTATAAATTATTGAGAGAAAAGAACTACTCACCAAAAATCATATACATAGTCCATAAATTCAGGGCAGAAAACAAGAAATTATCAGAAATGTGAGGAATACCTACCAGTAATGGACCTGAAATGCTAAAGCATCTACTTGAAGTAATTCTACCAGATAAAAATGGAAGCATAATGTAGTTCTGAGGATAAAAGAAGCCAATGAGAATAGGAAGCAAATGCAGTTTTATAGGAAACTTGTACAGTATTGTAAGTAGTTAAATCTAAATGGATGGAGTTAATAAACTTGCTCTGCCTTTATGTCCTTTTCCACCTTTTCCCCAGTCTCAATCCATCTCCCAACCCTGACCCCCACACACTTCTTTATGATCATTTCAGTGGCTTTTCATAAAAGAGATGAGGTACAAGCATGTGCTCAGTCTAACATCTTGGTTTAGAAAATCTGTTTTAAAAATTCTATACTTGTTACTACAAAAGGTTGTTGTGAATTTGTTGCTGAGTGTTCTTCCTGCAAGCAACAGAAACTAGCTATGGCAGATTGAAACAAAAAAGGGATTCACTGACGGGTGCTGGGGGACTCTCAGGATCCTTGGGAAAGCTAGAGACCCAGGCTCAGGTAATTGGAGAGGTCACTTTGCAGTGACAGCACTATATCTTCATTTAGAAATAAATTGCCTTTTTCTTTTCTTTTCTTTTCTTTTCATATGTAGGTTATATATTTGGGGAGGACTCCAGAAGAAGCATATAGAATATTAATGTGTGGAAATACATCCTATATTCCTTTCAGGTAAATATAAGAGTGATATGATAAATTCATTCAGTCATGCCCTTGCCAGAAATATCTTGGTATAATTGTTTCTGAAAAAAAGAAGACCTGGTAAATAGTCATTTTAGAGTGGGTGCAAATAATCCGGTAGATCTGGGTTGCTCAACAGTGACACTTTTTGACATTTTGTTGTGGGGGCTGTCCTGCGTATTGTAGGACACTCAGCAACATCCCTGGCTTCTGCCTACTAGTTGCCAGTAATACCTCCACCTCCATGAAATTAATTGTGGAAACCAAAATGTCTCAGACATTGTCTCTAGGCAGTGAATCACTTCTATGTGAGAACCTCTGCCACTCGTGGAAAATAGGCTTTATAATCAGACGACAGTCCTGGAGTTAGAACTCAGAGCTACCGCTGAGGAGTTTGAGTCCTGAGGAGTTAAGAGAGAAGTTTTCCTGATAATCAGGAGTTGGTTGCCACAGCAAAAAGGAACTTCTTTGTCCTAGGGATTTGCCAGCAGAGATAGTGGGCAAGGTTGCTAATGCAGCAACACTACTAGAGAAACCAAGTGGCTGTGTCCTAGAGGCACTATGTAAATACTGTCTGTACATGAATGGATGATGTCCTCATCCTCATCTCAAACTTACCAGGTGATTGTGTTGAAGATCTTTTGAAAAAAACTTGTGTTCTTTTTTTTCCTTTAAGTTCTAAAAGTTTCTCTGTGTTTCTCAAAATCCTTGACTTAGTTACATTATCTAAATATTGTGTGGCGCTTGACATGTAATAAAGATGTGAAATAATTTTGCTGATCGCATGCTGTGTTGTTAATTTCAAGTGCTGTATTATTCTTCCACTTGTAAGTTAGGTAGTGATTTTAGTATTGTTGCATATACCTTGAATGCCTGATTTTGAAGGTATGGCTTCACTTTTTAAATGTAAGCTTATGAATTTGACTTTATTGTGGACAAGCTTTAGGAGGGTCTCCCATTGGGCAGAATCTTCAATAACTGTAGGACTGTCCATAGACTTACTCCATGAAATAGATATTTGTTTCAATTACATATTGCACTAAAGATTGTATATTAAGTGATTTAGCAAATTGGAAGAATTACTTTGAACCCAGTACTATCACCTTTCTTTCTAGTGCAAGGATTATGTTAGGTATTCTGTTATTTGAGGTGGGTAGGGAGAGATGGAGATAATTTTCTAACATGGAGAGTGTGCTACTTTTCTTCTCAACCTGTAATCTAATAGCAACCATATACTTCCTTTAGAAGAAAGGCTTGTATCTGTGGTCTGTGAGTCACAGGAACATTGATATACAGTGATAATTTAGTTGTACAGAGCTCTTTATACTGATATTCCTCTATAATAGTGCCATTCTTAAAGTTTATAGCATAAGGTCTTGAAATAGAGTAAGTGCACACATTTCATATAATGCAAGTAAGGATCCATGGAACACTGTTGATGTAAAAGAGAGTTTGCATTGATTTAAATGCAAAGGCCAAAAATAGAATAAATGTTGCTTATTTATTTATTTTTTTTTGCCATACCTGAGTTTAAAATTACTGAAGTTTGGCACTGAGAAATGAAGTTAGTTACTTCTAGTCCCAGGAGCAAATGTTTGTAATTCTTTAAAAAATAGGACTTAGCTAGAAACAGCTCAAGATGGTAAAATTTGAATCTTTGCAGTCACAGATACCAGATATTTGATATATCTAAAGTATTGTGTCTCCAATGTGGCCTATGAATTAGTGTCAATCTGTGAAGTTTTTGTTCCAGTTAAGTATAGCAATTGAAAGCAAGATTTTAGAGACTTTGGTAATAATGTAATAGGATATTTTTATGTGTGTGGAATCGAATATTAGAAGAATTTGGGCTTGTATTTAATGTTTTTTGCCTTCTGTTTTTCTAGTAATTCATTTTTGTTTATAAAAAATGCATTTTTATGAATAAAATACTTTTTTATTTACAGAAATAAAATTGTGTTATTTGGGGTATGTAATAGTACAATACTGTTGTATTTTATACTTAACTGCATTCTACAAGAGTATCAGCATATGGCAGATATAAAAATCTGGTGCTTTATCACATTTTACTATTCTGTTGAACTTACTAGTTAGAAAGTAGGCCAGTCAGAATTAATAAAGCTTGATAATATTTTTTAAGTTTGATAATATTTTGGAAGAGATTGCATTATAGTCTTTTATTCTTGCCACTTGAAGTGCATAGTATAAATATAGCTGTTAAGAAGAATAGCATTGATTTACAGTTAAAAAAACTTTTGGTTCTCCACAGCAATATTTAATTAGATTTAATTCAACCTAGATATAATTCTTCAACCACTGAGTTGACTTGATTTCTTAATGGATATATTGAGTATTTCTCTCTGCATGTCTAAATGAAAAAATAGTATAAAATGTAGTTCGATATTTTCTTGATACCTTAGGATTATGGTTATGAAGAGCATATATTTCTATTTTTTTGGTTATTACCTATAATACCTTTTTGCTTCTTAGTTGATTTTTTTATGGTGGAGGGGGTCTCTACTTACTATTTTCAGCCCACTAACCTCATGTGTATATGTAGCTACCATCCAGTTCAGTGTACAGAACACTGCCAGCACCCCTGAAGATTCCTTTCAGCCCTTTTCTAGTGAGTAACCACCCCCTAAGTAACCACTGCTGACTTCTACCACATCAGTTAGTTTTTCTTGACTTTGAACTTCTTATAAATGGAGTCAGAGAGTAGGCATTTCGCAGAACTGGGACTAGCTTTTAAAATACATAATGCCTGTGAGATGTATCTGTGTTGTGGCAGGCATCAGTAGTTCATCTTTTTTTTTTACTGCTTTTGTAGCATTCCATTCTATGAATACATCACAATTTATTTGCTTTTTGTCCTTTTGATGGATTCCTGGGTTGTTTGCAGTTTGGGGCTATTATGCATACAAGCTGCCGCAAAATCTGTTATTTTTTAAACTAGTATTTGACACTGTTTTGCAGTTTCTCAGCAATACTCCTTCATTGATTTTCATGTGCTTTTCTAAGTTTGTTAAATGATCTTACCCGCCCCAACCTTACATCTAGATTCATAGCTCCTATTCTGCTGTTTTGAAGAAGCCTGATTGCTTGGGTAGAAAGAAGGAAGTGTGGGTGTGTTTAAAGTTGGAGGTGTTAATGAAGTAAACGGGAATGAATGAAGATTCTTGTCATCTATTCAGGTAGTATGATGCATGAGGCAGAACTTTAGCTGAGCCCAGATCAAAGCTTGTCGAATCATCATCGACTAGAGCAGGGCTTGGCCCATAGTAGGTTCTCAGAAAATATTCAATGAGTAAATGCATCAAGTTATCACAAAGACTGAATCAACATGTCTTTAATTTCACTGGGGAAGAATTAGCGGTACGTTAAGAAGATAATACAAGTGGTAAAAACACTGGGATGCGATTTGAGACTTCACCATATTTCCTCTGATAATTTTGATTTGGTTTAGGCTAAATTACTTAATTTCCTTACCCATAGGTTCTTTATCTAAAAATGTTCTTTATTCAATGAAAAAATTATTTCTACAAATCAACAAATATTTGTGTTGATTATATAGGTCAGTGGTTCTTAAACTTGAACATGCATCACAGTCACCTGGAGGACCTGTTAGAACAAAAATTACCTGGCCCACCCATATAGAACCTCTGACTCAGTGGGTCTGGGGTAGAGCTGGGAATTAGCAGGTGATGCTGATCGTTTGATCAGTGACCACACTGATAACTGCTATGGGTCGTTTTGTTTTTCTCCTCCCGAATATTACCAATAAACTACTGGTAAAATCATTTTCTAGGTTGCATAGAGACCTGGTCTAGCTTTTGGATGAGCAGCTTTTTAAATTCAGAAGCTTACTGGACAAAAATGGCACATTGTAAGACTTTGTGTGCAATCCTATGAAGGCTAACCTATAACTTAACTCAGTAATTCTAACCAATCCAGACAGTAATGTCTAAAACTAAAATAGTCCTTTTCCTCCTTGTTCATGTTGCTATGAAAGTCTGTATTCTTAGGGTTTATGTAAGTTGAAATCTTAAATAATTTTTCAGGTTAAGTAATACTACAATTGAAAACTCAACCAAGACAGGCAATTAATGATGGCTTCGCTAGCAGCTGTTTCCACCAGGGGACCAAATAAGGACCAGAGAGTCACAGTTGTTTGGCATGTCTAGAATGATCACAAATTAATTTTTATCTTGTCTAATTCCAAACATTTTTACTTCGTAATGGCTCACAGTAGCTAGAAGGGGGAAGTAGATGGGATTGGAGTTCAAAACCTTAAACCTTAACTAACATTAAGAGATTTGTGCTAAGATTACAGATAGATGTTGATGAGCTGTTGGGCGGAGTTGTCTGTAAACTAATTTAAGCACTTCCCCAAGAGCACTAAAGCTCTACTAAAGGTGGTTGGCCCCTTAGTTCCTGTGGTTTTCTTGGTATTCTAATCTTGTAAGAATCAGAAAGAAGTTACTCAGTTAACTTGTTAAAAATTGTGAAAGCATAATGAGAAGAGCAGACTGCCTTCTTTTTAGCTTGCAACTAGTATTTCAGTTAGCAATAATTGCGCCTCGGATAAACCTCATTGGCTACAATACTGCCACTGTGCAAAGCTTGCACCTAGTATTTCAAATATTACTTTGATTTCCCAATATTGTTTTCCTTCATGGATAGACCTATACCTGCAGCACATACTTACAACATGCACACACATATATGTGTATACAGAATCAAAAAGAAGTCTTACCTGGTAACAGTTTAATATGATATTTTCCAGTAAAAAAGAAAAGATTCAATGCCTTGCTCTTTTGTGGGGAAGGGTACATATTACTGATTAGAACTTAAGGAACTTTTGAAGCCCAGCCATCAAGGCCAAAAATGATCTAGGGAGATCATTTGAAATTTAAAAAGTGGTCATTATTGATTCATGCCTATAAAATAATATCTACTGGAATAGGTAGAAACTGCAGTGAAATTTATAACAATGACTTATCCTTGACTTAAAAATCGAAAGGCAAGATTTTTGTTTTTTGAGTCTGATCCTGAGTATGTGGTTTGCTTTTAAATACTAGTCTGCTTTGTCTTGAGGTAAGTATACTACAGAAAACTAAATTTAACTGAGCTATGTATTTCAATACTTTTGGGATTTCAGAGATGCTGCCTATGGAAGTTGCAATTTCTACATTACACTTCTTGACTGTTTTCATGCAGTAAAGAAGGTAAGTGAATTGTAAGATGTACCCAGTGTTGAGTTGGAAGACTAGGCCTTTTGTGCAAGGATCTTCCAAGATGTGTATGATGTCAGAGATGTCCCATTTCCCACTAACTTTGGAATAATGCCAAACCAGTAAATGATTTTTCTGAATCTGAGTGTTTCTTGAATGAGTTGGGAAAAAAGCCACTTGAACAACAGAGCTAGTTATGTAATTAGGTTCTAAATCCAGACATGTTTTGGGTGCGTTGTGATTTCAAAGAAAAACAAAAAGTAAATAGATTACTGGTTTCCGAGTTGTCTTTGATTTATGTATTTTATGGGTCTGATAGCCACCAATCCTATTTACCACAGACATTTCTGTAATGCAGTAATTGATACAAACACTTCGTTTTGTGTCTTCAAGCATTCAATTTCTAGTTCAGCAGAAGAATTTGTGTAGTCCATTAGTTTGTTACTAGGTTTTATGTAAGACTAAGTAGGTCACCACTGCTTTGTCAAAGTTATTTAAAAATAACTGCTGTGTTTTATAACCAGTACTGCCTGCCGTCTTTGACTCCCAGGGACACCTTTAATATCACATTCTAAATGAATGGGGTCCCCTGGAGTTATGTGACGCAGGCACACTCCCTCCCTCAGGTATGTGTCTTGAATGTCAGGGCAGCACAGGAAACTAGAATTTAAATCAGTAGCCCATGGATCAAATAAACTTTCAACAACATCTCAAGTTTTATGTGACTTACATTCTCACAGTCAAAAGGAGCCCTGGTTTGCTTTCTTGTATAATGAAACACGGTGGCTTTCTGAGAAATTTGAGGACTAGTTAGTATACTAATTCAGATATTAATTAGTATATCTTTTTTTTCCTGTATTAGGCAACAAGGTATAGAACTTAATGTTGTTTTGGGTTTGAGTCCAGTGACTATTAATAAAGGTGATCAAGTTCGTTGCCACAGGCTCTGAGGCAGCTTGATCAGGCCTCACTTTAGGCGGGTAATGTGCAGAGGAGATGATCAAGAGATGGAGGGTATAAATGACCCCTGGGAACTGCTAATGCAGGCAGGTATACCTCTCCTTATGCTAGGGTTCCCTTCTCTCTACTTCCACTTCCTTTAAAAAGAGAGGTGAAAAACTTAGAGGGCCTTGGAAATGGTCCACTCTAACATTCTATTGTTATTTGTCAGCTTAGTTTTTTTCCTTTTTATCAGATATTATATCCAAAGCCTAATTAATTAGCAGGAACTATAAGTCAAAGACTCCTTTTCTTGCTCTATATTTAATTTTATTCGAGAGTCAACAGCTTCTGATTTTCAAGTTAAACATCTTTAATTTGTAGCTGATTTTGAATATTATTGCATATAAAAAAGGTTTATAAAAGTAATTGTGACTTCATTTTAATGCAGCTTCTAATAGGTTCTCCTTATGAGTAGAAATTGCCTTTAAACTACATTTTATTGTATCACTCTGTTAAGAGCATATAGTTCAAATAGCATGATATATATTGAGTATTTTGAATTCAAAGAAATATAACTAATCATAGTCTTGGAATTAGAATTTAAATAGCTATAATTTTTTTAAATGAGGGTTTTTTGTTTGATACGGTAGCCTTCTCATTTTCCATTCATATTTCAGTGGTTTAAATTTTGAAAGCTGAGTTTATAGAGTCATCCCTTTTGAACCAAGAATACCTTGCTGATCAAGAATTTTTACACACAGAGATGGAAAGTACAGCATAGAGAATATAATCAGTAGTAGAACAATAACATTGTATGGTGACAGATTGGGACTACACTTAGGGTGGTGAGCACTGAGTAATGTGTAACATTGTCAACTTCGTTATGTTGGACACCTGAAACTAATAAAACATTGTCAACTACAACAACAACAAAAAATCCTTGGTTGCATGCTGTCTGGCTCAGTGAGCAGGGATAACACCTCTCAGAGGCCACCAGCTTGTCTTTGTCTCAGAAATTAGATACTCTGTTTATTTTGCTTAGCATGACCTGCCCGCTGCAACTGAGGGTGAGGCTACAGAATAGAACAGAAATTTTATGGGTTTTCTTTTTATTGAAAGAAGAATTTTTTCCTCAAAATTTTGAATTTTGTTGTATCAGGAACATTCATCTTTTAATCCAAATTCAGAAGAATTTGAAAGTGAAGATATTTATGAAGTGGTGGGATTTGTTTGGGATAAGCTAACCTATGATTTACTTCTTTATTATTTATTTAAGGACCATTGCTTGGTGGTGTTGATCATTAGATCAGCTGACTAACTTATTAAAGTTAGTATGATTACTTTGAAGTCTTCATTATTTAGCTGTGCATGGATAGGATGATTGATGAACACATAGCCCACCTTCTTTGAAAACTATTAAGTGGAACAAAATCTAAATATAATAATGCTCTTTTGGGTTACCTCCTGATATTTTTAATTAGGAAATTGGATCGGAAATTGTTCTCTTATTTGCATCTTTATTCTTAAAAGCTTTCCTTTGGATTTTAGGCAATGCAGTATGACTTCCTTAATTTCAACACATTTAACCTTGATGAATATGAACACTATGAAGTAAGTTTTAAAGGATACTGCTTTTAACTCCTTTATTCATGTTTTACTTACAGAGGTAATATTCTTGTTTTTTGAAGAGGTGAACAATTTAGATATGTATAGAGAAAAAAAGGCAAGTCTTTATCCTCTTACCCCCATTCTGAAGTTCCAGTTCTTAGTGGTGATTTGTATATTTGATGCATCTTTCCCAGAGTGCATGAATGTGCTCCTGGGCATTTTTCTTTCATGTTTAATTTTTTTAGTACTGATAATTTTCATAGAGTGATTAAATGAGGAGATTTAAAAACCCTTAGCATAGGATCTGGTGAGGTGAATAAAAGTCTTTATACATCTAATTACCTCTGGAAAATGTTTTTATCATAACCTTTTGTTTGTATGAAGTCAAGACACTTCTGGGTGCAAATTACAGAAAGTAAATACAAATGGCTTAAATAAAAAAGGGGACATTTATTGATTTACATAAATAAAAAGTCTAGGAGCAGGTGTAACTTCATGTATGACCAGATGAATGTACTCAGATACTCGCCAGAAAAAAACTAGTTTTGTTACCAGGCCAGCCCTCCCCAGTAGTGACGGCGACCAGCATCTTTGATTGACTCACTGGGCAAACTCATCAGAAGAAACCCACAAGTTCCTCATTGGCCTGCCTTATTAGATCATGTGCCTTGCTCTGAGCTAGACTGTGTTCCTGGTGAGGGTAGTTGTTGGGTGGATCATCTCAGTAGTTGGAGGGGTATGCTGGGATCAGCCCTGTCAAACCACACAGACAATAAAAGAGAGAAAGAGAAAGAAGAAAGTCCAGGAAGGCAAAACAATAGATGTCCTCTACATTTGTAAATGTAGTATATTTTAAAGAGTAAGTAATTTGATTCTGCCATTCCACCCTTTAAATAGTAAGATGCTATCATGCTAAAGGTCTTTTTTGCCAAGAGTACTTGTGGAATCTTGTCTTTTTATCCTACTGTAGTTATCTGGAGCAGGCATTCTCACCAATAATGGAGTGATTCCAACAGACAGCATTTTTATGCAACAGTGTCTGGAATCCTCAGATAACTGTCCTTTCACAATTTCTAGAGTATTATTTTTTTTAATTTTTCAAAAAAATTTATTTAGAGAGAGAGAGAGTGGGCGAGGGGCAGAGAGAGAGGAGAGAGAGAATCCCAAGCAGGTTCCACACTGTCAGCGCAGAGTCTGACGTGGGCTCGATCTCAAGAACCTTGAGATCATGACCTGAGCCAAAATTCAAGAGCTGGACACCCAACTGACTGAGTCAGCGAGGTGCCCCTAGAGCACCTATTATTTTAAACTTTTAGGTATAACTGAACTGTTCTAATAGTTACGGTTAGTCATTACTGTGATGTACCAAAGATCTAAAACATACCATGATTGATTCATTCGGGCCAACCGTATCTTTACTTCTCTGTAATACCAGTATGTTTCTGAAGTACAATATATATTTAATGCACATCCTAAACTGATAAATATAACTTATTTATTAGTACCATTATTTTTGTGCTTGTCCTCATAAAATTAAACATTTAAAATAAAATATACTTTCTCTTTCTAGGCAAATAAAACTACTAAGAACACCAGTTGGTGTTCCTTGAGTGGAGCAGAGTGATGCTTTTATGTGTTACTGAGGAGTAATATAGGTGCTAATTAGCTTCCCTCTCACTAATGCAGAAATTGCAGTGTTGGGGGTAGTAGCAAGGTTGCCCCCATATGCTGTTTACTTTAGTGAAACTGCACTGAAACTCAAGGAGCTGTTTAAGTAGCTACAAGCCATGGATAGTTTTGTTTCTCTACAGATATTTAGAAATTTTGGAGTAGTGTCTTTCATTGATTCCCCGATGCCCATTTTTTCCTATTACATTACTTTTATGAATTCAAGATGCATCTTATAATATGTGATGTCTGCAATTCAGTAAAATCTAATCACGTTTCTCATAATAAAATCTCTAGATTTCTGATTCCATTTCAAAGTTGGAATACCTGGACATGTTTTCATTCTTGCTTAGGCCTTTTAGTATGGAGCAAGGGTTCATTAATTCCCCTCACTGATAATTAAGTCAAATGAATTGGATTTGGGTTACCTGACCGGCAACTCCAGTTGTAGATATTCAGGCAACTCCCAGTTTATTGCTTACTTGTTCTTAGGTGCGCATAAGTATACCCCAATTGCTTGTTTTTATTGCTAGTTCTCTCCTCCACTATCAAGTCTTCTACTTCCTGCTTCAGTTTTTGTGTATCCATTTCTATTATTGTTAAAGTTGAGCTGTATTTATCCTACAATAATTATGATGGTAACTCAGTTGAAAGGACTTAGTAACAGGAAGTAAGGTGTTTTAAATATCAGTTTATGTTCACGCTTTTTTCTAAAGCTGTACTGTGAAATTAGTGTACTTGTAATTTTGTGGTGGGTTTAGTGCAAATTCTTCATTGACCCTTTTACTAAATAGCTAACAAAATGATGGAAGTATGTGTCTCTAGAAATAAAGTGTAAATATCAAGAAATCAGAAGGTTTTTTTCCCCCCCCTTTGTTCAAGGAGTCAAGATTGCTCATGTTGGAAGCCACGTAGTCATTCAGGGAAATAGGAAAGTTTCTAAGATCCTTCATAATAAAAAGTTTGCTTTCTTATTAATTAGCAGCAATTATATGAGAATTTACCTGGATAAAATAATTAAAACACTTAGGTATATTTTGAATAGCAGCAGTTAGTTCTGTTTTCCAAAGGCTGACTATCCAAGCAAAGGAACACTGTTTTTAAAAACATGATTAGAAAAATAAATAAATAAAAATAAAAATAAAAACATGATTAGGATCAGAAGAAGTTAACTACTCCCAGGGAGTACTCATAGCAGGCTAAATTTTAGTTTCCTATCTCATGGTCATTTATAAACTGATTCTGTGCTAAAATAAATGGATTTGAAGTCCTTCAGACACTCAGTATTGGGAAGGAGTGTGGACGGGAGATTCAGTCTAAAAATGAATTGTACTGGTCTTCCCTTTGCAGAAAGCAGAAAATGGAGATTTAAATTGGATAATACCAGACCGATTTATTGCCTTCTGTGGACCTCATTCAAGAACCAGACTTGAAAGTGGTATGCAAAAATAATGGGACCTAGTATCGTTTTGTTATTAAAAGTATCTATCCTGTATTTTCTTTTGAAAGAGGCCAAAGGTCTGTCTTAATTATTTAAATATACTTGGTCGTTTTTATTCTGCCAGGCTTTTAACTTTTTGAATTAATGCTTTTATAGTTATAATCAAATTGGTATTCCACCCCCAGGTCAGATACTCTTTCCACCCAATTACAGGTGAAATTGTTAGGCATTGTTTTCTTTCTGCATTTGACAATATCTGGTGAATTTTTTTATGTAGGTTACCACCAACATTCTCCTGAGGCTTATATTCCATATTTTAAGAATCACAACGTTACTACTATTATTCGTCTGAATAAAAGGATGTATGATGCCAAACGCTTTACGAATGCTGGTTTCGATCACTATGACCTTTTCTTTGCGGATGGCAGCACCCCTACTGATGCCATCGTCAAAGAATTTTTGGATATTTGTGAAAATGCGGAGGGTGCCATTGCAGTACATTGTAAAGGTATGTTCCTAGGATTGGTTAAAGATGCTGGACACATATGTATGTACGTTTAGAAACACACCATGCCCCTTTAGGTTATATGCCAGGATACATGAAGCTGCCTTTGTTGTTGTTGTTTGTAAGTTGCTGTTTTCTTAAAACCACTTTATTGAGGTATGATTGACATTAAAAAGCTGTGCATATATCGAATGCCTTTAAAACCCTAATTTTGGGGTGCCTGGGTGGCTCAGTTGGTTAAGCATCCAAC